TGAAAAGCTGGGGGAGACAAGAGGGGTGTCTGGTCTGCTGTTATCAATTTCCTGATCCAACAGACCAAGACTGCTGGACTTGCCCCAGTAGTGCAAAAAGCAGAAAATGGCAAAGCCAGCAGGGCAGGGATATTTGTTTTCTAGCTCCTTTCTCCTGTGAGGACAAAGGAAACTGGGGAACCCAGCAACCTCTTAGTTCCACTTTTAAATTTAGGCTGGAGGAGAGGCATCCTTTTTAACATGTACATCTTCTCAAGTGATAGTGACATCTTTCTTTCTTGGTGTAAATTCTTGTAAGGACCACAGCTTAGATCCTCAAGGATTGCCTGCTGTGGGCAATTAAAAGGTTCTGATAAACATAAAGTCAATCTTTTATCACAGACATCTCTCTTCATAGGCAGTGGTAAGAGTATCCCTCTCACGGGATGATAAACATTCTAAGCTGATGATTACAATTTTTAAAGGCAAACCCTGTGACAGAAAGCCACAGTGCTGATCTTATCTCGTAAAGATGCTACATGCTGTATGTTTCTGAACTTCTGTCTGTGCCTATCTTCTTATAATGTAGAGAGAAAATTATTTGTTACAGTGTTTGTACCCAATTTAATTTAGGATGAGAAATCAGTGAGTAGGAGGAGAGGGTGGAAGGAGGGGGGCAGGACCTGCTCCATTTACAGCTCTTAAAAATAGCATGTGAAGCCAGAAACACATATAAAACTGAACTAGCCATACCCACACGCAATGCATTTCCAAACAGAGGATATCTACAGTGCTTCCCAATTATGTTCAGTTCACTGCAGCAGGTGACCCCAATTTCTTTGAAAAATCTTTATAACAGTCCTTTTTCAGAAAACCTGCATGGGGTGCTGAGAATAAAAGTCAAGGCCATAAGAGTTTCACTTACTTGGGCTTTCTTCAGATTAAAGTGTGTGTATTACATGACCAGGGAGAAAGCTGGAGCAGGATGAAGATGTTTCTCCTGCACATGGGCATTTCAAGCCAGTGGCAAGATGAGTTGAAGACCATCAAAATGAAAAGATGAGACATCTGTTGTGCTCACCCCCTGCAGGACCTGTGCCCTGCCTCTGCTTCCTTCTCTGGCTGCTCCCATGGGCCCTGTGGCTTGGCAGCCAGGTGGGGTTGATGCTGCTTTGATGCTGCTGGACCCCCCAGCAGTGGGGATGCTGTTGGATGTGTCAGGTTTGGATCCCAGGTGGATCTGTGATGGCAAGGGGGGCCCTTGTAGGGATGTCTGGGATGTCTGTACTTAGCTAAGCTCTTTTCTTGTTCAACGTCATTGTTAAAGGAATGGAATCACTTTGGTTTTGTGACTGTTAATAAAGCAGTGCAATGGAGAGCAGGTCTGGCTTTATTTAATACATGGAAAAAAAAAATTATTTTAATATTCATTTCAGGGGCACTGGCATGGCCACAAAGGGCAGAGATGAAACTCACTGATGGCACCATGAGGAGGCACCAGTGTAAAGAGCATCAGACTGTCACGGGAGGGAGAACTGCACGACCTCAGGGGAAAAAGTAATAGAAGTGAAATTAAATTTTATAGTGCAGAGGGTAAATGGGCTTGGGCTCAGGGACTATTATCACTGTTTTGCTCTATAGTGGGAGATCATTAGCTAGGGATGACTGATGCTGAGAAGGATCTGGGGGTATTGGCCATGGGACAACTGAGAGCCACCAGTGCTGTGAAAAGGCATTGACAATCCAAAAATGCCTCTGACAGGTTACTTTCAGTAAGGATGAGGGAGAGTTCATGCCATTTTAAAGGGTACTACTTAGGCCTCATCTGCAATACTGCCTCCAGTTTTAATCAGCCATAGCTAAGAAAGATGAATTCAAATATGAGCAGTTTGCAATGAAAGGTTAGAAAGTGCCTAAAAATGGAGGGAGAAAAGTGCTTTAAAATCATCATGCTGGAGGAAAATGCCAATCTATGATGTTGCTTAGTTTGTTACCTCAGGTTTTGTTTTTTTTTTTTAAATTCCTTTAACAGTGGACATTTAAACACTAGATAAACAAAATATAATTTGCTTCACAATGGAGGATAACTCCTCTATCCATTTGCAATAAAAAAGTGTGTAGCTTTGTGCTAAAATGGCCAATTTAAATTGGATTCCAAAGCTATAGTTTGGTCATCAACTGGCAGTTTCTAGTAACATGGACCTGAATATCTAAAATAATTTCCAGTGGTGCATAAATGACTTTATGGCATTTGGAAGTGTGTACAGGAATGGCTCCCAAGCCAGCAGAAATTAATGAAAATAAAATTAAAAAAAAATATTTAAAAGAGGAGAATTTATGTCTTTTCATTGCAGCCTTAATTCATTGTTATGCCTACTACAACATATACCATTATTATGCGGCCATGATTGTATTTCATCATCCGTGTTATGCCACCACACACTTTGTGGCTACTTTATCCTCTTTTCATGCTTCCCATGCAGGTTCCATCTGCACAACGGGCTCCAGCAAGCTGGAACAGCACAACTTGCCCATAAACTGAAAACAAGCAGGAGCCAGAACACCACAGCTGCCTCCTCCCTCACCCTCTGCCCTGGGTCTCTCTGAAGGTCTGGGGCCAAGTGCTGGTGTTGGGAGGGGTCTCAGCAGTGCCCAAATCACTCCCCAGCTCTGCTGGGTTTAGTGCAGCACCTGGGCATTTCATGGCTGTTCCTTTCATCCTCAGCTCCTGCAGAGCCAACCTGAGTTTTTATCAGTGGGTGATGCTCAGGTTTTCAGGCTCCTGGAGGGACTTGAGCTGTTCCTGCTGCCTACTTCCTAGTTCCTAGAATTTCCATCCATTTTCCATAGACAGGTTGAGGAGGGAAAGTCCCTGAGGATCCTGTCACTGTTTTCCTTCTCATGGGAAGTGTGAATTTTACTTTTGGTGCACAGATCCAAATTCTGAAAGCAGATGCTCTCCCTTATTTTTGGGGTTGGACCATCTGTTTAGGATAAGAAAGGTAATGGATGAAAAACCCATCTGTGATCTCTTGGTTTTCCAAAATCTGCATCCCCCTCTCTCTTCACCAGCCTTGGAGGTGAATGACAGTTCCTGTGGTTCCTGTGGGACACATCACAGTCTCTTGCACCTTTCATTTATGGACTAAATACTGTTGTTTAAAGGAATTCTGGGTGATTTTGATGTAAAGCTTTAATAAATGAAAGGTCAGAAGGTTTTAATAAATAAACAATACATGAGCAAACATTTTTTTATAGGCATCTCAGGTCAGGTAGCAGGCTGTAGCCCGTGTGCCAAGCCTGTGCCAGATTTCCTCTATTCTTTTCCAAAGGAATGCTCACAGCCTCTCCCTTCTCACAACTTGATGAACACCAAACTAGAATTTGGGTATTCCACTTGTGTGACCTGTAAGACCATGGCTATTTTTAAGAAGCATCAATATGCTTCAAAGTATGTAGCAGAGTAATCACCTGTTCAGATGCCTAACCCAAAATTACTGGGATGTCAACACATCTGCATTGAGACCACCTAGAATCTGATATTCTGTCGTGTAAGAGAAGCTTGGAATAGTCAGAAAACCTTCCCATATCTTATTACAGGATGCAAACCCTGTCTCAGTCATAATGTTGGGCTCCAGTGGCCAAATGTGACAGCACTGCTGTTTGCTGTTTGTTTAAGACAGAAACAAGTTTCAAGGCTTTAGCTAGGGGATACGTGGGAATATTTGCATTAAGCACCCCTGTGCAAAGTCTAGAAAGCATCTGCTGCAACGTTTTGTAAAATATATTTTGAGACTGAAAGGAAAAATGATGTAGAGATGCTAATCAGCTAAACCTATCAATATCTAAGCATGGACCAGAGAACAGTATCTTGGATACAGCACAAACTGACAGACAATATTATTGTCAAGCAGAGAAACTATCAGGTCATACTTTAATTCTTCTCAGCTGTCCAGGGAGTTTATTTAATCTCCAGTGCAAAGGGAGGATTCACAGATATATCTAGCCAAGGCAGAATAGATGTTGTAAAGGCATATTTAATGGCATGTTGTTAAGATTTTATCATGCCCACATGTGAGCTTGGAAATGTGGAAGGTTCAACCATTCTTTTGCCATAGCAAAGAAGATACCCTTTTTAGCATAGATTGTAATCTACAATACATAATCTTTACTGCAGATAGCATCCTGAAGATTACTGGTTTTATCTATTTCTTGGTCAGTTTGAACTCTATTTTTTATAGTCTGTGAAAATACCTACACTTTTGTACATGTCATCTGAGAGTGCTTATAAAGTGCAGGTCTGCTTTCTTTTTTTTTTTTTTTTCATTTCTTCAGGGATGTTTCTGTACTATCAAATGAGTTTAAAGTGGTTCTAGTCTGAAGTATCCCCATATAACCAGGCTCAGAAAACCTCACAGATGGAGCCCTCAGGAAAAGATGCAGATGCCAAAGTCTCAGACTGCAGGGAATGCCAGAACCTGGCAGTGGCACTGGACAGCAGGAGAGATGAAAGCTGTGCAAGGGGTGACCAGGTGAATGATCTGTCCAGCCTGATGGAACAGCTGAGAGATGGGGGAGAAAGGTTAAGCCAAGGAGATGGACCAGTGGAACCCTGCTCTGGCCTCCCCCACACAGGAGCAGAGACCAGAAAGAAGCAGCCCATGAGCCTCAGTCGTGGACCTGAGGATATCTGTGACATCTGCAGTCTAACACAGAACAGCTACAACAAAAAGTTTACTTTCAAGTAGTTTTTAGATCTGCAAATTCAAACATACACACAAGGGACAGAAATTTAAAGAGTGGCCTTTTGGATATTTCTCTGACTTGGGATTTTCATTCCACCCCTGTGCAAGTTATATCAGGTGTAGCAAAGTTCTAAAGGTGCTATGTCAGCACTTTTTATTTAAAAAATTCCAAAGGGCAAACATTGCTGGGTATTTGTTTGCTGGACTTGTCTAGGTTTGCATGTTTGCTTAAGCCTTTAATAAAGTATCAAAGGTAGGGCAAGCTGCTGTCACTGCTCCTCAGGTCACATTTGTCACACCACCTCTTAAATCAGCAGCACAGTTACCATTTTTACTCATACTTAGCCTTGGAGGTGACTATCCAAAATTTCAACTCCTAAACCTAGACATATCAAAGAAACAGGTTACCCCATCTCATACTCATTTGCTTAATTAGCACAGATTATTCTTGGCTAAAACTAAAGAAAGGAACCCAAATCCATATTTGCAATCATTTTTTTATGTCAAGTCATTGTATTAGGCATAAATTTACTTACATCTCTAAAAATTCACAAATCTCAAGAATTAGTATGCTAACAAAAAATAAATTAAAAATTCAGTACCTACAGATAGCACCTTTGTGGGGAAGCCAAGCCCAAAAAAAGGCATGTGCATTTGAGGAGAACTCACAGACCATAAGCATGAGCAGCATTAAAGCTGGGTGAGACAGCATTGTCTCTGCTTCTGCATTTCTTGAGATATCTGATGTGAAGAGGAAAAATAAGGCCACAGATGACAGTGCTATTGTGCTGACTTCTTTCTCAAATCCTTGTGCCTGGGGAAGAAGAAAGCACAAAAAACACTGTTGACAGTTCCATTGCATAATAATGAAAATTCTGTCCCTTGCTTTTCTGTAATCACTTTTGCCTTTAAACATGTGATTTAGCTACAAATTATCACCCTGACCACAAGCACTTCCTCCATAAACTCACTGAAAAGCAAATTAACCTTTTCTCTCTAGAATGAACTCTCCTATTAATATGAAAATCAATTCAATCCTTTTTGCTTTGGTTACCCCAGCCTGTTTGCACTTCCCAAGCTGAATAGTGACTGCCCAGTTAGTCGCTTAAGCAGAATTCATTTTAAGAGCCAATTAAAAAACCCAACCCAATAATACAGTAAGTGATCTTCTGGAAAGCTTTTCATTACTGTGTGGTTTATAATTGAAAAACAGGATGTCTAATTATTGCCCTGATTCTTCCTTCCTGACCTTGGAGCAGCTCCACAGGTGGTGAACACCAGTGCAGTTTAGCACAGCAGCACAGCTTAACATCAGCCCATGGCACCCACACACTTTTCAGCTGGCTGCAGATCCAACACATTCCTGGGCATATCTCTGAGGTCATTTGTCCACTGGATGACTTTATCAGGATCAAACTTTTCATGTTGTAAATATTATTTAGCACCTGTTCTGAAGTGGTATGCATGAAATCTTACTTACAGAAACACGTGGGCTTTTTATTACCCAAGGAAAAGAAATCATTCAAAGAGCAGAAGTCCATCAAGATCAAAGAAACAAAGCCTTCACACAGTGAAGACAGAGCTGCAACAGAATCCAAATGCTGGATAGCTGTGGACACACAGGGCAATGGGAAAGGATACGCAGGGTTTTTCTTTGTTCTCACCATCCTACAGTCACAGCAGATGCTAAGGAGTATTTTCTCCTCTGCTTGTCAGTCTATCATCTCTCTCACCAAAACCCAAATGGGGTTAGTAGAAAGATATTTCTGCTTTCTGTGTTCTCTCTTTTTTTCCCTAGGCTCAGTGACGCAGCTTTGGTTTTCCTCTCCCCACCACCATCAATGTATTCCTCTTTTGCAGGGAAGAATGTCTGCATTCTGCAGGATGCAGCCATAGCCAGTCTCATTCAACAATGGGCTGTGAAAAGTTAATGTGTTCAGACTTCTGATTATAGCAAAATAATTAAATCTGCAGTAAAACACTGACTCATGTGGTACCTTAGCAAAATGTCAGATTTCATGGTGGCACAGCATCACTTCTGTCCCCAGGCTCTCAGGAGTGTTGTTTTAAACTCTTTGATGACTCAAAGGAGATTAAAAGCATATGTTTTTAGGACGCTTTCAGAAACATATAAAAGGCAGAAGGAAAAAAGCTGAGATTCTGTGGCAAGGCTGAAGGTTCCTGCAGTGAGAAATGCTGATGAGAGTTCTGTCACACAACTCCTGCCTACGTGCAAGCTTAGGGACATGATCCAAACCTACATCCAAGCCCCCTGGAGCAAACCCACTGATTAGCATTCTAATTCTGGCCCAGCCCAAACACCACTGGCAACTTTCTCACGTCTCTGTAGGTATATAAAGAATTGCTGCATTTCTCAAAGGCTCAAAGAAAAGCTTGTGTCAGCTGGGGCCTAGAAACAAAACCTCCCTCCAAATGAGGACTAATCTGTAGGTTTTTGGAGGGCATTTAGAGGACACAGAGGTGGTTTTCTTTTAAAAGATGGCCAAAGGAGTGTGGGAGTCCAGGGCTTCCCTCTGGCTGGCCTGGAAGGTCTGGGACCCTGGCAGGGGGTCAGGAACCCCCTGGACAGAGCCCCAGAGACACTGTCTGGGATCTCTGTCCATGGAAAAGAGTTTTCAATCTTACAGGATGAATTACAAGCTCTGAGTGTTTGATATAAGTAATAATTAAGTGTGGCACGGGTGCAAAAGTAAAATTTTAGGATTCTAGATAACGGGTTCAAAGGGGACAAGATGGAGGAAATTGGGTGTGTCTTGTCCTTTTTCTCCTTCTTCATACCCTCCCTGTTTCACTGTGCTGTTGGCATTTTTCTGTTGGTTTAGGCTGGGGACACACTGTTCAACGTAGGTGACAGATATTGGCACGTTATTGTAAATCCAGCCCAGGGAGTTTCTGGTATTTAATGTTTGTAACATCCCACTGAGGGCAGAGCCCCACACGCTGCCCTGCAGGACAGAGCTGTGGCAGGACAGCAGAACATGTGAGAGATAAACAGAATAAACAACCTTGGAACCAGCACAGACCAATTATGGCTTCTTTTGGCAGCGGGGCAGAAAGACAGAGACTTTCTACAATCTCGGAATCATCAATACCACGGATTCCTACAAAGGAGGAGGTGGGCCCCCTTTTCACACAGCAGCCTCATTGTGTGGGCAGTCACCCAACAGACAAGAAAATGGGAGCTGCTCCTGGGACTGTAGCAGTGTTTTCTATGCTTTGGAATAAGCCAGCATTGGATAAACACCCTTGGAAATCAGGGACCTTCTCTTTCTTTTCTGGCCCACTGCACCTTGGGTTAATTTAAGAGAAATTCAGCACGTTTTCTTCCTGTCTGAACCAGGAAATATTTAACTATTTCTCACCAAAGGAAATGTGAGGTCTCTTCCATTTCTCTGGGAATAATTGGCACATTGCAAACCCAGCAAAATCTTGAAGACTGCAAAAGAAAAAAAAAAAAAAAAAAAAAAAAAAAAAAAAAAAAAAAAAAAAAAAAAAAAAAAAAAAAAAAAAAAAAGAGAAAAAGAAATTATGAGTGCTCTTCTGGTTCCTGGGGGATAATTGAAGACCCCAGTACTCACGTGGGTTCACGCTGGCTACCATCACAGGTTCTTGCTGCCAAGGACAAGAAACACCTGTAAGGAGAGTAAAGCATGCATGTAGGTCTGGATCAATTTACTTGGTGGCTGGAAAAGGAGAGGGAATTGGGGCACAGAATGGAAAAGTTAACAAAGAGGCAGGGGAGGGGCAAAATAAGGATGAATTTTCCTGCCATTGCACATCCACATGCTGCAGAATTTTGGGCACTAATGGTACTAAAAATGTCCTTATTATAGTTGTCTCCTGAAAAAAATCAGCCCATCAATGTACTGCTTTGAAATTAATCTTTACCTTTTTGCCAATGTGTACATTTGAGAAGGGAACACAAAATACTTTCCAGAAGTATAATGTTAGTATCTGTAAATGTATTGCTGACCTCTTTATCTTCTTGTTCTACCACTTGTCATGTGCCCCAGGCCAGTGTTGCTCTAACAGCTCTATTGAGTAGTACAAGCTGAGCTGGAGCTTTGAGGTATTTTTTTGTCTGCTCACTTGTTAAACGTGTCCTCTGCTTTTCCTAATGGTGTTAAACTGAACTCCCTGGATTAAGCAGTTAATACAGGTCAAAATTAGTCCTTCAGGGATAGGCCAGCCTCGGCTTGTTACTTCTCTCACCTGCAGAGATAGGCTGTGGTGTTTGTCTCCTCGTAATTTATGGTGTTGCTGGGTACTTCCCAGTAATTTCAAATACTGGTGACTTTGCTAAAATCATTTGTCAATAAAGCTACTTTTTAATAAGCTGCTGCTTCATTTCTAACTTGTTTTAATGCTGATTCAGACCTTTTTTAAGGAATGTCTACATACTGCCTTTACCTTCATAAATAGAAATACCTCCTTAAAACTTTCAAAGTACTTAGCTGCCCTGCACAGTGTGGTGAAGAGGGTGAAATAGAATATATTATGAAATGTCATAGTCAACTTGAACCAGATGAGCAATTAAGCGAGTGAATAATAATTTTGCAGCACTGTTTCTTCAGAAACCTTTAATTTCGACATCAATAGGCATCATACATATCTCAGTGTGAAATAACAACTTTATAGCTTCGGTCGGTCCTGATGATAGCAGTGCTTAGAAAACAAAATAGAGGCATCTATGACACTGTTAATGGAATGATTAAAGCTGCAGATGAAAATGCACAGGAGAAGAAATGTTCTGTTAGCTAATTTGCTTTGTGCTTTTATAGTGTCTCATGTGGGAGAATGTGGAATTCTAGGCCTGGCTGCACAAATCCAGAATGACTGCTGGCTCTACTCTAGTTGTGCTGATCTCCCTAGGCTGCCTCTGTAGTCAGAGAAGAGGCAGAAGCCTCATGTTGCCACTCAGAACTGCCCTGTCTCATTAGGCAGTTTTGTGAATTAACACCACTTGTTCTAGGTTAAAGTTATTACAGTTCATCCTCACTGTTTCAATTCCTGGTAGCTGAAATTGAAAAGCCTTGTTTTGCACTAACACCATCTCTTGCATTGAGCTTCCTTGTTTTCTTTTGTAATAAAGAGAAAGGGGACTTTGTCCAAGTTTAAAGGCAGTTTATCTTTATAGCCCTCAGTACAGGATCCATCATTAAAATTAAGCATGTACTTAATTGGTTTCCTGAATACAGATGGATCTAAGCACATGCTTAAATGCCTTGCTCACTTGAGGTCCTAATGGACCATGCAAATTTAAAAGTTCACTTCTCATTGAGATAAATGGAGTGGATAATCATAGATTTATCAGAACAGAAGCTGATGCTCACTGTATATGTTGGCAGCATCTTGCAGCATTGTCCTCTCCCTCTGCCTGGGATATCTAGAACTTGTTGAAGCCAAAAAGTAGCAACAGAATAAGAACTGGTTTTCTTCACTCAGAACAGACCACCAATACAGTATTTGATGGTAAGATATCTATGCATGTGCCTCAGAGAAAAGAAATGTTTTCCGATATGAAATCTCATAATTAAAAAAATACTGGAAATTAAATAGAAGGGAAAATCCCAAGGAAACAGAACAGAACAGTCTTATGACTGAAAAATTCACCAGCTACATCATTGCTTTGCACTGTCTTTCCTAGTATTTTTTTTTTTTTTCCATCTGGATAAGGGTTGTTGCAATGGTTAGCACTGAACACTCTGTCCAGCAAGGTGTTCCCTGAGAAGCAGCCCAGCAAAGACCAGACAGATGCAGATTTGTGTTTTTCTTGTATTTGATGGGATTTTCCTCTGTTTTATAAGGATTAAACCCATGTTTCCTCAGTAAGAAATCAGTAGTTTCTGGGGTGAGTTGCCCTATTTTGAAATAGACAAAATACGGGAAATAGTCCAAAAACTTACTGGAAGCAAGAGGAAACAGATCGAAACAATATATTCATACAGATTCCATTATTTCAAATGCCATTCTTTTGGAAATAAGAGTATGAATTTTCCTTAAATCTAATTGTGGTGGACATGTGGTGCATAATCCAGTGATGGGCTCTGGGCATTTGGTGCTTTTTAAAGTAAAGTGCACAGAATAGTCTCACCAGTCGTTGCCTTTGCTTATACAAGGCTCAGCCCCTATCAGCTTTTTAAAATTTCTTTATATTTTATAACTTCTAGGTTTGTTTTGAGACATGTTGGGTCACAGAACTAAAAATGCTGGAAGCTAAAATAGCAAGAAACTCTGTCTAGAAAGGTGACAACCAGGAAGTTTAGCACCTTGTCCCTTATGATGCATTTCACCAAGCTATGCATGCTATATTATATAACTATTTTGTTATCACTGTCATTTTACTGAAGATCACAAAACAAAGTAAGGTATTTATGAGAATTGTAGAATTACTTGGGGGGTGAAATTAATGTTTTACAATAAAAGCATAAAAAAGACAAACCTGCTTCATGTCTCTAAGAAAAGTGAAAAGATATTAAGTAAGAACATGCTGTCATTATATTGATCTGTAATACTGCATTGCTGTGGTCATAAACTTTGCACTGAGTCTGCAAAGTGTCAGAACTTGCTCTGTCTGAACTTTTCTTGACCTGCCTGCAGCCTCTTTTCAGTTGATTTGGTTGTAACACCAATTTCTCCAACTCTTTAGGACTTTCTGACCGATTTGCTTTACTTTTATTTATCTTTCTGTGGTGCTACCATGGTTTCACCAGTCCTGGTAAATGTGGGCCAGGCAGGATAAGAGAGACAGAGTTCAGTTTGGAGGGGCAGAGACCTGGGATGATGAAATATGGAACACAGACTTGACACCAAAAGCCCCACAACTAAAGAAATGCAGACCTGGAGCTGGGCTACTCTGCTTTTTAGGATAATCAAGCAAACAAAGAAATCGTATTGAGCACATGTAAATCCACCTTTAAAAAAGGCTGTGACTCAGAGGTGCAGATCAGTGAAATAAAGGCTGGCTGTAAAAGTATGTTAGCAGACACATAAAAGTGACCCCAAAAGAATCCAACACAGAGAAAGAGGAAAACTTCAAAGTGAACTTTTTATTGCTCCTGGTAAAGGACTTTGGGTACTGACAAGTCACTGAGAACACAGCCACCATGAGAAAGAAATGACCAACCCAAGTGGTAAGAGGAACACCAGAAGGGTGAGCAGAACATCATGAAAAGAGGTAGAAACTAAGTATGTGTGTAAAAAATTAACTGCATTATTATTTTATTACTGAACATTTTCTGCACAGACTTATTCTTCTCTTTCCATAACAGTTCTATGTGGAATAATAACAATTCTTGGATGAGACTCTTAGGATTTCAATTGTACTAATGATAAATTTTGACTTTGTGTATAAGGTATGTTTCCTCTTTGCCTGTAAACAAGATTTTAACTACTTAGGGAAGAAATTTTGAAATCATATAACTCTTTACACTACCAGAAAGCAGTCTATGGAGATCCAGTGGTCAGAACTTCATATAATGAAATAATGAAATAAATTTTATCTGCTGCCAGCAATAATAAATACATACTAAAACAAAAAGGCAAACTGTACAAAAAAGGAAAATGGTCACAATAAGGAAATATTAAACAGGAATATGCACTCTGTAGGAGTTTGTTTTGGCTTTGTCCTTTTGCAAATGGCAGGCTTTAAGCAAGAGGGAAATAATACTGTAGTTCATGAAAATAGTCTGCCTTCCCTTGTACAGTTGCTGGGGTGTTGTTGCACTGTCTCCTGCTCTGCCAGGATCCCTGTTTGTGCTCCCATGAGCTCTTCAGAAGAAGTGTTGCTTGCTCAGGCTCCTGGAGGATTTCCATCAGGAGAGCGGAGTGGGATATCGTCTCCACGCTTCTCAACGCTCAAGCACAGGAGAAAAAAAAAAAAAAAAATCCACCGTGCAGTCCTCACTGAAAGACCTTGGCTTTTCAGGGGCTTGGGAAGATGTACATAGAATAAATTTTTACTGCCAAAATGGATTTGATTATTTGGAGTGGTTTAGGCTACATTTGTACAACACAGCACGTAACTGTTCTTTGGAGAGCTGCGGCGAGGTTTTTATAAGAACATGGAATGGAAGCAAAGAGGTCGCATTAATTTGTGCTTTCATAATGTTAGGACTGTAAGGAAATATATTTTAAATAAGAATTGACATAGGAGACCTTCATGATAACAGCTTATATTGAAGGAAATCATTCTTATACAAAATATTTCTCGAGGCTCATAAAAGATAGCAATAACAAACACCATTATGCAGTATCTGGGAAATTCTATTTACTTAAAATGCTTTCTGCTTTTATTATTATATGGGCTTGTTCCTTCAGTGGAAGTTCTGATTGAAGCTTGAGCAATGTGTATGATCTCATTACACCAGGGCTGCATTAGAAAATCTGATAGTGATAGCTCCAACAATGGCACCTCTCAGTTATTATCTGTCACTTGGCTACAACAAGAGCCGTGCAAATTTCCTGCCATCAAATATCTGGCAGGTGGCTGGAAAACAATATAATATTCCACATGTACCCTGTTGCACTTGAGGGGAAAAAAAAGCCTGTTCAATATCCTGAGTGTGGCTGGTTTGGAGCACAGGCTGCCCCACAGGCAGTGTTGGGTCACAGGCGGGTTTCTGCTTTGCTGGGGAGGCTACAAAAGGCCACCATGTAATACAGATACACATCAACAGGAATCTTTTCACTGTACACCTTCAAGCAAGTCACAGACAGCTTTTAGGGCTGTCATTCATTGATTTCTAGCCGCTGATTCCTTGTCTCCTCATTGCCAGTGTTCTACTGCATGCACATGTCCAAGGCCAGCTAGGTTTTTGTCTTTGAAAGATGCAAGAGGCTAGGCAATGTCATATGCTACATACCTGCATATAAGTACATATCTGCTTTCAGATTTTAGAAAAAAGGAAGGGGGGAAGATTTTTCTCTCCTTGTCCTGTGCAGCCCTCCTAAAGTAGTTCAACATTATTCTTCACCTGTCCTGTACTTTTGTGGGGTTTGTCAGTACTGACAGCTACAACTGGTGGTGCAGGGTTACCAGCTTACAGGACCTGCATCAATAGGACCTTGAAATAAAAAGCAAACCTTTCCCACTAATCTGAAGTTAATAGTTTTTTAGCCCTTTAAATCAGGATTAATTGGAGGGGGAGGGGGAGAAATTCTGAACACATCACACAGGGTAAAGTAAGATAGCAGGCTAAGCAGGAAAAATTCAGAACGTAAAATGCGAGGAATAAAATGTATGAAAAGCTGGAAAACAAATATCCCTCTTGAGAAGGATGGGTCCTTTTCTCCAGGCTTCCTTTCAAATTTTTAGCAACTTTCAGTGTTTCTGTGTTTGAGATAAGGTGTCCCTTCTCCTGGCTTCTATTTGGAGTCCTCATTGCCAATTTCTGCCATTTCTGAGGCTTCCTGTACATCTGCCCTCCTCTGCAGTAGCTTCTTGCTCCCTTCAGAAATTCTCCAGCACCCATTTCTTCAGTCTTTCCCCTGATTTCCTCTTCTCCCACCACTTGTTCTGCCCTTCCCTCCAGAGGAATTGGGAGTCTGGCTTATTTGGATGTTTCAATAGAAGGTGGAGGTCCCCTTCCTCTCTTATTTCTAGGGTATTTCTCTCCAAACCACAGCACAGGCACCAGCACCAGCCTTTTTCTCTGCTCTCCCTCTTCACAGCATTCCTGTAATGGTATCACATGAAATAAATTCCATGTGCCATTGTGTAAGTGCCTGCTGAGGATCTAAAGCCACATTAACCAGCCTGGCCTGCTCTAAAATCTGTCTGTGGCAAGGGCAGCACAAACCCCTGGCTGAAATGAGTACATGGTATTCTCCCCTTCTCCTTCCTTACCTTTTTCTGTTTCCATATCGTGGGGTTTTTCTGGCTCATTTGTTGATAAATCTTGGTGGAATCCTCACGCTGGCCATTTTGAAGACATTTGCTGACATTCTGGTAGACAGGCTTGCTGAAATAGAAAATTCCCATATTGAGAATGTTAACTTTTTTCCTTTTTTTTTTTTTCCCTGAAGGACTAGAAGTACCAGAACAAAGTTCCTGAAGAAAAGCTATTGCTTTCCCTTTATTTATAAGTGCACATCTTGATGAAATTCTGTGACTAGTTAGCTGCCAAAAACATTTAACATTATGAATTAATAAACCCATGAATTTTGTATAAGATGCTCTCTGGATTGCCTTTCTTGCTGCTGATTGCCATCTTTCTTAGCAGAATAAAGCCTCCTGCTTGAGGTTGTTGCCGACACCTCAAAGTAGCTCATTTATCCAGGCAGTAAAACAGATTTAATGAACCATGGGATACACATGATTTTTCAGAAATGACCATAATGACAATGGTTGGTGGATAATAACAGGCTATTTACCTGTGCCTGAGTTGCTTCAAATTTATTTTCTTTGGACAATTTCCTAACTCTGGCTACAGCAGCAATATGATAGAGCTGTAGGTGTACAAGCAATTTGTTAATTAAAATTAATGCTGCATTATTGAGCTGATGCATTAAGGAGATAGGTCTTCTGAAGAAAGCATGATCAGCTAACCAAGCAAATCTGGGGGTCTGGCCAGTTTAAGAGATGAAGGATTTCTCTCATAAACTGCCTACAACCTTCCTGGTGGTTGTGAGCATTTATAATCAGCATATCCTTAGGATTATTGATTCTCCCCTGTAAAGTGTAAAGCTTGCTCCTGTTGATGTCCAGGTCATTGGACTGATATGTTTACCGAAGGGAATAAGAAACCCCTTTACATTCTTATGTGAGCTAATCAGATTTACGTATAATCGGGTCGAGGATGATGGATTAGAGGGGTGGGTGATTACTGGAGATGGAATCAACACTTTAATGCATGACAAATGCTTCCTATCCAGTGCTATTGAACTCTAGGAGTGAAGAGATATTCGGAGTTTTGTCTCACCTTTATCAAAATTTGATTTGCCACATAACACAGCAGCAGTTATGGGGTTAAAATGCACACATGTGTAAAGAATATAAATATATATATATATATATACAAGTAATCAGGAAAAAACAGTAGGAAACAAAATCAATTCAGCAGAGGCAGTTAGATATCCTGGGTAGGTTTTATGTGAGATTTAGACATTGAATCCAAAAACACAATTCACAAAACCCTTTCTTAACCTCACTGGCATCCAAAAGGATAAAGATACTTGGATGTTCACCAGAAAGTTCCCTGGTGTTCCTATCCTGCATCTGATTCTGCTCAGAAGTAACAAAAAGCAATCTCCCTCCTGATATTCCCTTCTGGATGAGGATTCTCCTTGCTTTGAAGACTGTTTTGTAGTTTCATTTAACTGCCACAAATTCAAGACATGGAACTCATTGGGCTGGAGGACTGTGCTCCATTTTCTGTCCCTTCTCTTTGTCACCAAAATCAAATTCCTTTGTAACAAAATAGGAAGAAATTGTCCATCTATAAATGGCAGATTTAGGTACCTATATTTTGAGGCTATTTGGGTGCTAAGATCATTTGATCATCACAGACCTTGGAGGGCTCCTGTGCCACTGGTATTCATTGGATAGGTAGGATTTAACCTTGGGGATTACTTAAATGCTTTGCTAATTCCTTTCTTAGCTCTAATTATGGACCTGAGCTTGGATTTACTTTATGTTAATATTTTTATGTAGCATAAACACAAACATAATATAGCTTTCTCAGACAAGCTAGCATTTCAAAATAAACTCCAGCATCTACATGACATAAGATGAATATTAAGCATTTTTAGGAGACAATTTTTGCACTTACGTAAAGAAAAAGAGAGGCAGAGAAAAGAGTTGCAGTGATAATTTCCAAGGAGCTGAGTAATCTTGATGCTTTTTTCACATGCATCCCACACGTTCAAGAGGATACATTCAGCCTCTTCTGTGAGTGGAGAGTTTTGAGATGTGTAACATTTCCTGTGTAACAACATATCAGTTTAAGGTTGTGATGAGAAAAAAATTGCTTTCAAATATCACAAGTTCAAAAGTGCAGCTGAAATTTGAAAGTATTAGTTTCACATTCTACTTAAGAAAAACTGTGAAAAGAGAAGCAGAGAGGAGACTGAGGATAAAATTCCAATAAAAATAAGATATCTATATCTAGGCAAACAGTTGGTATTATATATATCTATATAATACTGTGTGCATGACAAATATGGTAACAGAGTATTAAAGCTGCATGGTTAGGCAGTCAAAAGTTTGGAAACAGCCTAGTTAAGGTTGCTTGCTGTGCTGCTCTTCTCCATCACATTGTGAACACATTATGATTTTTTTTGACTCCAATACTTCTCTGCATAGTCTTTTTCAGATAGAATAAATATTTCTTTTATATAACCTCAGGAAACTTGAAATGTTGTTTATTTCTCTAAGCATTTGTGGATTTTCATTATCATAGTGGCGCAGAGAGTAACACAGATGCTCAGGCTGTTTTTTAGCCTTTTGTACCACTCAGATGGCACAGAAGGGCCATAAACCAGACACCACCAACCCACCTCCCCACCCTCCTCCCATATTTCCTTCTGTTGTGTCTGATATAGATGCTTTTCTTCTGCCGCCCTCCTTCTGCCACTTTTGCATTAAGTAAAATGAAACACAGCAGCACAGCTTTTCAAATGAGGGGGTAAAAAGCTGGCAACAGCCTTCCTCCATCATCACCCCTGTGTATTAAAAAAGGTGCAGAGCAGCATCTCCTGCATGCCCTCATGTGATTTGTCCTTGTCTATCTCTCAGGCTGGGTGGAGACCTGGGGGAATCTAGGTCTAACATGGGTTTCATAGCAGTCATGACCATGTTTTAACTCTCCCATCCTCCCTGCACTGACACATGGTGTCCTCTGATTGGGGGTTCTGCTGAGCTTGCAGAGAGCAGTTTTTTCCCACCTGGCTTCTGAGGGGTCCCCAGTTCATTGCTGTCAGTCAGCAGAAAAGTTCCCCAACTTCTGTGCAGCTTGGAATCAGCTCACCTACAAATTCATCTCCCTGATAAACACACAAGCTTCAGCTGCTACTCCCTGGATATTTTTCTTGGCACAGAATTGGATCTCTGAATTTGATTCCTCTCATTTTCACACTGGTGGCTTTTATGTCTTCTAACCTCTCAATCTTGAACCAGAGCACAGCATTGTAAATCTTATACCCACGGGAAAGGGCACAAGCCTACTGTCTCCTAAAAAACCTGATATCAACGGTCTCACAACTGAGTTGTGCTGATGAAAACCTGGACTATGAATTTCAATTGCCATTTTATTCCGAGGGTCCAAATATTTGCCAAAGCATCTGATGGAGAGAAGAAAATGTTTGTGATAAATGTAGAAATATCCAGTGCATTCATGTTCTACATGGTTAGACAGTTCAGAGGGCAAGATCACAGCTGCCAGTATATCCCCCTTCCCTTTCCAGGCAGGAGTGAGCAAACACCCAGTGTTGGATGTGGTTAATAACTTTACTACTTCCAGATGATTACCAGCACCGACCTGATAGAGAGCACCCTGAAACTGAGGAACATGAATGTTCCTTCATTCATTTTTGGATAAAATCTGCAAGGTTATTGTACATCACCCTCTTCACCAGTTTAAGCTAAGGTGGAAATATCTGAGAGGAAAAGAACCCACTTGGTACCAGGATTTCTGTCTGCGGGTAATGGCCAGGGAAGAGAAGGGGAAAATAGGGAGAGGGGCAAAGGCTGGCAAAGCAAAGGCATTTGTATGCCTTTATGGTATCTGCTAAAGGCTTCTTATTCCTATATTTATTTACTCAGAGCTGAGGCTTCAGCATTGCCCTGACTCTTACATGCTCTCTGTAATGAGTGTGCAGGGGATTCAAACCCATTTTACTGCATGGCTGACTAACAGACTAAAGCAAAAGGGGCAAAATATAAATTGTCAGCATGAGGTGGAAGCAACACATAAAAAAATTTCATACTGTATCTTTTCAGCTTCTATTTCATTTTGGAAGATAGCATAAAATTCTTACCTGAAGTGATGTTTTTAAAGCTTAAGGAACACAATGTGATTCTGTTATGTGACTTCATGATCTTTTATAAACCTATGCTTAGTTTAATAGATTTCTATTCTAAAGTTATGACAGGACAAGAAGAAAATATAATGTGTTGAAAACTCAGAGCAAGATCAGCAAGCTGTACAAAAGAAAGTAAAAAATGCTTAACTGGGAAAGTCAGCAACTCTTCAGCAATTTTATTATAAATAATTCATTTATATTGTATAATTCCCATGATTGCCAGAGACCTCATTGATTACTCACAATGGTACTGCATTAGGCTGCTCATAATGAGATGTTTATTTTAATAACTATTTTCTATGTGGATGTACTAGTTTGCAGAAGCACTAGGTTAAGGATACTTCAGTTAAGTGACTCCAGAATGAATTTAACATAATAAGGAGGACAGATGGGCTTTCAACTCCACAGCAACAGTAAAGAAAAGCACAGATCACTGCAGCACAGATCCTTTCACACTGTTCTTTTTGCAAATAAAATCTACTGACATTGGCTATTTCTGCTTAGGCTGGTTATATCATATAACCAGTCGTATAACAATTTAGAATCTTAATCAATAAAGGCTCATCACTTGTTGAGCTTGTGTTAAGCAGCAGCTTAGCCTGGGAAGAGCAATTGTCCATGTTTCTTTGACACATACTGTAATATATGGAATTGCACTGGGAGCAAGGTAGTGGGTACCTTCAGCAATGGTTTGAGATCCTGGCCTGTACTTAGTGATGAATTAGTGATTAGTTGATGGGGTTTGAGTTTTACTAGAACTTCTATGAGAAATAGATTCATTTTACCTCCTCTTGTTTCTAATCCCCATTTTTCAGGCAAATCTGGGTTCTCTTTGCTGCTTCCCTAACACCTCTTTGGTGAGCACATTTCAATATGTGAGCTATTACCCTGTGTAGAAAGCTCTCCTGAGAATCCAGCTGCAAGTCCATTTCTGTGCTCAAAGTCATTATCACTCTGGCATGATCCAAAGGCATTCACAATATCTACAAACAATCAGGGAACAACTAAAGATGCAGTCCCAGTAACTGGAATTTAAAAATCCATTTCAAACACAGAGGTACTGTAATCTGTACAAAATTATTAGATTTCACACAACTACTGAGCTATTTTGACAATTTAGTCCTCAAAAATCTGTACCAATAACTATATTGCGAAATACAGAGGCATCGGCACAGCGTGATGCGAGTCTCTGATCCCAAGTTAATCTTCCAAAATAAAATGACCTAGAAAGAATTTATTTTTGTTTCTTATGTGGCTGAGGGGTTTGAACTGTACTCTGAAGCCAGGAGGGGCTTGGAGAAGATTTCATTTGATACTTCTTTTTGTCATTTCTGTTAAACCTCCATTTACCCTCATTAATCTCACAGCACCTTCCCGTGTAAGCATGACTTCCCTGTTGGGAAGGCTGAGCAGATGCTTGGTAAAACTTCCAAGATTTGGGCCAGCACATCATGTGTTATGGATGAAAATGTCTCTGGGCAGGTTTCAGAGGTGTAGCTGTAGCCACAAGCTCCCACTGAGGGCTTGCCAAAGCCTTTTGGAGAGAGTGCCCAGTCTCCTGTAATCCCTGCTGGATCTGCATCAGGGCTTGAGGAAATTCCAGACTTGCCCTGCCCAGCACTTCAAGCTCCAACAGCAGAATGGTGCTCCATGGACCCTCTTCTTGCTGTTTTGATGCACTGGTGTACACAAAGAGAAGCTCTGAAAGGATTGTCCCAAGAGTCTCTTTCAATATTAATCAGTCTTATCCATCACAACTCCCTCTTAGACAATACAACTCCATCCCTACTCTGGATAGATCTGTTTATTATCCAAAAGTAATATTAGTTCCCAGAAGCAAAATTAAACAAATTCATTGAAAAATATACAATTAAAATAGGACTGAAGAAAGGCTTTTTGGAGAAAAATGTGATGTGTGTTCCTGCATGTGTATGGCTTTGGTTATATAGAGGAAGAAATTAGAGGAAATACTGCTTTTATAAACTCTCGTGTCTGACAAACAAAGTAACTGCCACATTTATGACTTTCCTTTTCATGGGAAAGGGGTTATTAAGATTCTCTTCATATTGTTACAATCTGTTCTGATTTCACATTTACAAAAATACATCTAACATACAATGGAAGTATTTTAGTGGATCTTGGTCACTTTGAATCCACTTATCCATAATGCTTTGCAAACACAAGCTGCAGTAGAGGGAAGTATCATCTTTTCTCTAGAAAAGATAAAGGAGCATTAAACCAAAGTTTGTGACAGTTCATCTTCTTATACAAAGACAAAGGAATTAAACTGTACAAGGACCATTTCAGGTTCATGATATCTGTTTTAATAACCATGATCAAGGCTGCAATTTCAGTCAGTTTTTTACTTTGAATCTTGAACCTTAAGAGGTTCCCTGGAGACTCCATTTTAACATGCATTGCAGAATATAAAACATATACATGTATATATATAAAATGCTTAGTTTTAATAATTTTAACTAAAACTAATTGTCTGTGTCTAAAATTTTCCCGTCCTTTTGTATTAGATAAAAGCATTAACTCTATTTGCTATATAATTCCTTTTAATCTCATCTGGGTTTTACTTTTTAAGATTAAGAATCCTATGGGGAGACTGGAAATCTCTGTTTTAATCCATACACAGATTTGTCTTTTACCATACCCAAATCTCTCTCTCATTTGCCAGAAGACATTGTAGTGACAATTTTCAGGCAAAAACACTACATGAAGAATAAGGCTGGTTTTCAGACTAGTTTATAGGCTAAGACATCACTTGTATTATTTATTAAAGAATATTTTTAAAAAATGGCTGAGACCAAATGCAATTAACAAAAGCAGAAGCACCTGAAGAAAAGAAAATTCATCACTGTTTTGCTTATTTCCACATTTAATTTGGTGCCTAACCCTTTTATCTTGAAACGTAGGGAAATAAGCTGCTTGGTGTTCACACAGTATCAGAAAGCTAAAAGCAAATTTGCCCTTGAAGAAAAGAATGGAAAGGAGAAAGATACTGGAAGAGATTCAAGCAGCTTAGTCCAAGTTTTCTTTTAAGTTTCAACTTTGTCTGAAACAGAGTTTGACTCTCAGTGCTGCTGACACTGCATAAAGTGAACCCACCAGTGAGGTTTAGATGAAACCTGTGTAAACAGCAGCAGATTTCATGCTGTTCTAATACAGACCCCTGTGAAAGCACAACTGTTCAGAAAAATATGTAATATACTTCGAGTATGTGGACCTACAAACCTCAAGAGGCACCACTGCAATGGTTCTGGCCGAATGACTTCTAATTTGACACTGAAGAGGCAACCTACCAAGTAATAACTGTGAAAACTGCACAGGGACAATAATAGCTACCATAGCTGTGGTTTTAGCACAAGGAGTTCTTGCTATATATTAGTGCTAACCTCAACACAAAGCTTACCTTGCCATCAGATTACTCCTCTGTGTTTTAATGTGTCATCCAAACATAAAAAAAACCCAAAATCATAGAACCTGCTGCAGAGCACACAGAGACATGTTTACTTGCCATGTTGCTTATACTGGTAGAGAAAAGAGAGGTATTTGCAGTGGAAGAAATCACATGAAAAATAGAATAATTATCCATCTGAGACAACTGGCAAACTACCCAGGATTTCACTGGACAGGGCTGGTAGTCTCACCTTAGCCAGGAATCATTACTGAAGCCCTCTTCCATTACAGCCACTAACCTTTCTTCCCATACAGCACTTCTGCACTCAGAGAACTTCCTGGGCAGTACCTGGTCACCACAACTGCTCAATGATAGGTGCAAGGATTGTGTCGATTTCCCAGAGGCACAATGGAGTTCAGCAGTCCCAATCCAGGCCTGAGCAGGAATTAAAAATCAGGAGTTCTGTCCTGGCAGTAGTTGCTTGTAGTGTTCCTGAATCTAAAGGAAAAATTAAGGAGGAGAATAGTTATTTATTGATGCTGTTCTCCACTACTGTTCATAAGATGCACGCTTAATTCCCAACCCTGTGCTCTGCAGAGACCATGAGCACTTAAACCAGAATGTCTCATCACTTCAGTAATGACACCTCCAGGGATCTCCTGTGTAGGGCAGATGGGCTACAAAATCTGAGAAAGTGACTGATGCTGTCTTTCGTGGTGCCAACGCTGACTCCCTAAAATAGGAGCACAAGAAGCTGCTGCAACGTGGCGCTATTAAATTCTGAAATACGTGTTTATGAAAGAATAGATGAGATTCATCAATCACCTAGAGACCACTCTGGTTTTGAGAAATACTTTTTTTTAAAAAAAAGTGAGATACGGGTGTGAGAAATTAAGATGCATAAAATAAAATAAAGTCGTATGCTCCGCATAGAGAAAGTGCGGGACCTAAAAGCACAGAGACAGAGGAAAACCCACAGACACTTCTCGGTTTGCTCACCCAGCCATCAGGACGGATGGGCGCTGTCCCTTTTCTGGCACGGTGCTCGGAAACGCGGCTCAGCCGGGCTGCCCGGCACTGCCGGCGCCCGCCGCTCCGAGGAGCCGCACGGCAGCGAAAGCGCTGCGGAGCGCGGAAAGCCCAGCTCGCAACCCCGCCAGCGCCGCCAGACTCCGGAAAATATTAGCTCCTTTGTGCAAGAGCGTGCTTCTCTCGCTAGGGAAAACTCTGACCTGTCCTGATTGCAGGTAGGAAATCCTCATGGCGTTTAAAAAAAGCATCCTGGATTTGAAGCATCGGGAAGGTGCTGGAGAGCTGCGAGCATCCTTCAGCGAGGCAGCGGCGCCTGGTACCCGCCCGGCCGCAGCCCCAGCAGCAGCCCTGGATGCAGAAAGCCCCGTGGAGATGTTTTGTGCTCCTGCCTCTCACAGCTGGGGCCGAGGAGGCCACAAGGGCCAGCTGGGCAAGAGAACATTTCAAACGGGCTGAGGGGACGGGGGAGCAGGGAGCGGCTCTGCCAGCTCATGCCCGGCACGGCTGTCGGGCCGCCTGCTGCTCCAGGGCTCTGGAGCAGATCAGAAATAAAAACGTGTTTTAGCATTCACCACCTGTGACCCTAAAGCAAGGGCTGGAGGCAGCATTGCCTCTCCTCAAGGAAATGATAGGATGGGACCAATCTCTCCAGTGACTCTTGTATCAAAATCCATATGGTGGCCGTGGATCTCTTAGAAACAGCTTTTTGTGTGAGGAAGTTTCATGCAGTTTCTATCAAAGACTTTGAAGATTTTCCCAGAACTCTGAGGTTTTAAGCTGTGTGGAGGCCCTGCCACAGCCCTGGTCCTCTCAGATGTGTCAGGTCTGTGCTGCCAGGGGCCAGGCAGACATTGAGGTGCTCAGGGCTTCTGTGGTTGTGCCATGCAGCTCTGCTCATCGAGGCTGTGTTTGCTGGATCTGCTGAGAGTGAGCTCAGTGTGTGATCCAGCCCTGGAACATTTTCTTTTCTGTTTGTGCACAGAACAAGGGTTTGGCACGTAACTACATGCTTCTGCCTGGGAAATCCCTTGCAGATATAGATGTGTGGAAAACAGAGAGAGCAAGCAGGATAGCAGATGTAGTAGGGAAAACAAAGCTTTGAAGGCAATTTGCCCCAGAAGGATGACTCAAGTGCGATGACTTCCTCATGTTTTACAGATCCTGTGCATAAAGACACAAACTTGGGCATTGGAGTGCAAGCCCCTCTCCCGCAGACACCTGCATGTCTTCAACACCATGTGCTTTCTATTATAAGTAAGGCAACACCTTGCTTTGGAGGCAGAATTGCAAATAAAATCTCTTCTAGAATCAGCCAGCACTTGCAGACGGCTTCCGCCCCCTGCAATCAATATATTATGGATAAGTTGATGCATAGACTCTGAAGAAAATGAAACAAAATGTACTGTGTCAGTTTACATAATCCAAGAGCCAATAGCCTTCATTTTCTGAGCCACCAAAATGAAGATCTAAAATAAGGAGATTTGGAGACTGGAGCTTAATCTCTGCATGGTTTGCATACTTTCTTTTTTCCCCAAAATGTCTCAAAACCTTTTTAGGGGGGGAAGAAACAACTTAAAGTGTCAGAATGTTTTAGATATAGGCTGAGAAAATGATGTAAATTGGGAAAAATGCTGCATAAACACCTTTCTTTCTGTGTCATGCTGGCTGTCTGACATATTAGATAAGTCAGAGAAAGGCAAAAGCTTTCAGGATCCGTCATCTGAATTTGCCTCAAGAACTCAGTTTTCAACTTTATTTAGATTCCTGTAGCACCCAGAAAGAACAGGAGGGGAATCCTCCTGGGATTGTGGACAACAAGAACCAAGCCCACCCTGGAAAATCATGGTTCCACAGTACCCTGCTCTCTTTGCCCCTGTGGCAGTGTGGCTACTGCTTGTACCTGTGCAACTGTAAAACATTTTGATGAGGAGAGCTCTTCAGAAGCCCTTGTTTAAACACCATGATTTCCACAGGCAGGTGATGGCTTCCATGAATCCTATCAGCTTCAGGCACTCGTTATTCATCTGAACATGCACACAGGCACTCTTTTGTGTAGGGCTAGATGCATAAAAAATTGATGGCTCTGTTGAAAACTATTGTATTAAAGATGAAAATACTCCTTGTTCATGTTTGTCATCTATTGTTTGAAATAAATTTCTCTCAAGGGTCAGTGTCCTCCCATAGAATGATTTCTGTTACTCTGATAATGATTTATTAAATGTATGTATGTAACAGAGATCACTGGCAGCTACATGAGAAATAATTTTAGAAAAGGTATTTCCTACTAATTGTAACAAATATCATGGCAACTGTCATATGAATAGCTGTTTAAAAAGTATGAGACACAACAATTTCATTCTTTTCAAGGAAACAAAAACCACAAAAAAACAAACCAGATGAGAACTTCCAGAAAAAAAAAAAAAAGAAACATGTTGTCTTTTATGTAGACACTCATTCCTTTGTTGGAATATTTACATATATACCTTTACACTTGCAGATTTTCACATTTACTTTTTGCATTCCTGCACAGCTCTGCCAATTGCCACGCTTTTACAAGACAAAATGAAAAGTGTCTAAGATAAGGATTAAGCAAACACTAAAAAATCCCTTGGCTTGAACACCGATACAACTGATTATTGTTTTAATCTAGTGCTTCTTGGGCAGTATTTACTTAATATTTAATATTTTTTATTTAATATTTAATATTTGGTTTCATTTAACCAGGTAAGGCCTCAAGAGGATGGATGCTGACTAGTCTCTGGGCATCAACCAAGTTATCCTAAAGCCCCTACGTGTTCTGCAATGTGCTGTTAGAAATCACTCCCTGTTGAGTGCACACTAAAGAGATGGATGTCACTATCTGGGGACCTTGTGGCAAGGGCAGAGGACCTGCCAGGAAAGCAAAGTCAAAGTCTGCATGGAAGGCCCACTTTTCAACTCTGTGGAACCAAGGTCTGAGGAAGAAGGAAGCGTTTCAGTGTAAATGGAAATATCAAAACCGACAAGGAAAAGTCAAAACAGAGCCCTCCAAAGAAATCAATGTAGCACCAATTATTCAAGAACAGAATCTGCTGCTGGGTGCTGGTCAGGGAGATAATACATGTACTGTCTTTCCTGTTTTCATCTCCCCTGACAGCTTGGCCCTCTAAGTTATTTCTGTACTACTCTGTCTCCTTACTTCAGTCTTCATTCTTGAATTTTTATCACAGTGTCTCCCTAGAGCCTTTTTCTCATCCTGGGCTACTAATCTGTGGGATGATAAACCCAGGAGACAAGGCTTTTTGTGCAGTAAGCTACATTTTGGGTTTTTTTGTTCTTGCTCTGTCTGTTCTGCCATTCTTACTGATCTCTGAAACACACAGGGCAGAGGACAGTAAAGAAGCACAGAGAGAGAGAAGTGTAAGTGAAGTTATTGCCCAATGCAGAAGAAGGCTCAAGTTACAACATCTTCAGATGGAAAAACTATCAGAAGTGAGGTTTTAGAAGACGAAATGTCTTCCCTGCTGACAGCACCGTAAGGAATAGCTGCAGGGCAGAATTTTAAAAACAGAGGTTGTCTTGACCTCTCTCCAGCCTTGCATGGTGCTCAGCATGATAGATCAGGGGAAAAAATATTATAGTGGGTCAGACATAAAGACACATCACATTGCAACAGCAGCAGCACCCCTGATTTTTCCATGGCTCTGAATGACAAGAATAGGATACTGAATTTAATATGACTACAAGAAAGGTTTGGAAGGAGAGAGTTCAGAAAAGAGCTGCAAAATAATTAAGGGACTAGAGGGATTTACCTATGAGGAAGATTAAAGGAACTAAATAAATATGTCTAGTTTGGCTAAGTGGTAACTAAGGAGAGGCATTCCAACCATCTACAAATATTTGACTGACACAGACACTAAGGAAGGAAAGGAATTACTTAGCAGGAAACAAGCAGGTATATCAGGAAGTAATGGGATGAAATTAAGAAATAGAGAATTGAGGAATCTAAGGCAAATCCTCCTGAAAATGAGTTCCAATAGTCTGCAGAAAACAAACCAGCATATACACAAGTGGGAACCGTCTTGCATTGGTAAGGAAGGGGACTTAAGCGACTTGCTAGGCCTTTCCAATCTCAAATATTTATGATTCTATAATTAAGCGTTATTAAATTTAATGACATATGCCATTTTTTCCCCAGCAAGTTCTGACTGTTGCCTCAGGTCATAAGTGTGCAATTATTTCCTAACTAAAGGTCTTATATTTTGACTCATGAATCCTTACAAAATTAACTAGGTTGGTCTCCTTTTTTTTTATTTATTTAAATTGAATTTATATTAATGCATTTTCTCTTATTTCTAACTAGCAGCTATCTCCCCCTGCTCACAACTCATAATTCCCTCTTTATGCAAGGTGAGCCTGCACGCTTAGAGCTTCGTGGCACAGTGCCTGAACCTGCTCAGCCTCAGGTTGAACGCCTGCTGTGTTCAAGGGAGCTGCTGTTCCCAAGCCCAGATGACCACAGGGCCTCTTCTTCCTCTGAAGATGAGCTGCGTGCAACAAAGGGGAAAAAAATGTGACATGGTATTTTCAGCTGAGAGCTGTTTACAGAGCTTTGAAAGCAGATCAGGGCCGTATGCAAAGCTTCATGTCACCGCTCACCCCGGTGCCACAGCACCACTCGGCAAATGAGAGCAGGTGTACTGCCCAAGCTCCTGGCCAGGATCACAGCTGCTGGGTAGCAAGTTTCCTCTTTTCTCTTTGGCAAACTCCTTGGTTTTGATGTATGCGCTTGCTTGTGCATCCAACATATACTCCAAAACATCCCCTGAAATGGGTACAAACCTAGGGAGTGATCAGAAAGTTGTGGTCTCATGTGAGCAGTCATTTTGGGGGTCCAAGTGGTTTGTACTACCCTGTTTCAGACAGCAGGTGCTGCCGAAGGTTGTTAAAATATCAGCTTTCGCTGATATTTTATCATTGGCTATGTTACATGAACTCAAGAGAGTTCATACAGTCTAACTCTTTGTGAATTATTATCTAAATATATCCTTTGTCCAGGTAAGAGTGCAGCTCACCTCCCACTGTGAAAGGCAATCTGTGATGCCTATTGCTTTTGTGATGTGTTCTTTTGGTTTCCCCGTGTAGTGCAGCTGCAGACTGGGCACCTTGTGCCATCAATATCTGACACTCCCTTCATTCTTGGCTACTCGCTTAAAGCTCTTTCCGATTGTGTGTGCTGGACTCCAGCCTCAGCCGAGGCAGTGAAGACAGCAGTTTCACCAGGATGTGGTGCCAGCAGCGCCTGCAAGCACTCGGGTGTAGCGCAGGCGGCGCGGGCTCCCTCCCGGAGCGGGAGATGCTCTTCCCCCATCTCAGGCAGACACCGAATCCCCTCTTTGCTACCCGATCCTGAGCCCAGACATCCTGTCTGCCAGCACGAGTGAGAGCGAATCCTCTGAGCAGATCAGAGCTTGCGAGAGCCTGGCTATTCCATCCCAGAGTGAGTAAATCCGCAGTGAAAGATGCTGGGTGCTGGCATTACACGCTAACTACCAGGAATCTAGCTCCCAAATCTTTTCACTTTCGAGATAACACTGCAGCAATCAGGCTGAAGTGGGATAATTAAACAAAGCACTGTCTCCTCTCCCCGTCACTCTGCAGCCCCGTCTGTCATTTCCCAGCACGGAATGGCTGAGATGCGGGTGCCTGATAGGAAAGCTCAGTTGCTGGGAGCATTTTACAGGAGGTGTGGCTTTAGAACATCTTCCTCACTAGGAAAGAGCCACAAGGAGCCCTGGCTGCTCCTGTGGATGGTTTATCACTGAGCTGAGTCCAGACAGAAGTAGGTGAAAGACATATAGGCAAAAGAAAGAAGGAATGAGAATATTTGCTCCTTTTTCCCAAAGCAAGAAGAGACAAAATCTTGCTCTCTCTTTGAAACCCACAGGTTGTGAATACAGTTTTTTGCAGCTGTGATTAATGTCCTGAAGCATCTAAATACTTGGGGTATAAGAAGAGGATTACTGCCTATCAGAACTTGTCTATCTTTTGAATATTCTGCCCAAAGCAGCAAAACATTGAGTAATAACTTGGTACTGACAGCTCTTCATTAAGGTACAGCAGCTTCAGCCATTGCCTTAGTCCATAGTTCTCTCTGACTCCACAGCTTACTAAAACAACTTTAAATGTTGCAGTTTTCTGTTTTTCTCTTAAACCAATAACAGGAGTTGTTCTTTCACATCTGACCAAATAAAAGTATCCTTCTCCAGATTTGGACTTTTCAAGAACATACATTATATACAGCATCCATCCATCCATATATATATATATATATATATATATATATATATGCACATATATACATATATACATATATATGTATATATCCCATTTGAAAAAGTCTTTTAGACTATGTGATACAGTGAATGCTAGTTTAACCCATGTATTGCTGGAGAAGTGGAAAAAAAAATCTGTTTTTAGATGAAAAATCCAAAGCCAAGACTTGTGGCTTCTGAATGCATATTCTTCAGAGCTTTGTATGGAATTTTAGTTTGTGTGCATTTTTGCATTCAATAGCTAGGGTTTTTTTTTTTACTTTCCTCATAATTTTCACTATTACAAAATGCTTTGCAGTAGACAGTCTACATTTTCACTCTTATTTTAGGCCATTTTTGCTTCTTGCACATGTCCAGCCCCTGAGAAAACAGAACTCCCAAGTCACATATTTTTGCATCATTCTGCTTATCACTCACAGAAAATAAAGAGGAATAAAACCACTCACCATCTTCCTTGTATTTTCTCCAGGCTATTTCTTAAATGTTTTCATCAGTCAGATTTTTCTGAACTTCCCTGTGGTGGCTATTGTTGCTTGTCTCTTCAGTTTGTTGATTATTTCCATAGCTCTCAGCATAGACACTGTTCAGAAAAAATGACAACCAAAAAAACAAAACAAAAAAACAAACAAACTAAAAAAAAAAAAAAAAAACAAAAACCCCAACCCAAACTCCATATATAAAACAAAGAACATTTTTTTCTCAGGCTTCTGAACTGTAGGTCAGGCACTCTGCATAGTTACTTTACAGAGGTAGAAGAAGCTCATATATTTACTTTCACTCAGAGTTTCTGCTGAACAGGAAACAACAGACACACTTCTGAGAATGCACAAAAGGAAATAGCAGCTCTTCTTATGGACAGAAAATAAATTACCTTTGGATAGAATAAGAATATTACAGTCCAGAATTGATGTGGTTTTCATGTTATCTTAAAGAATTATGTGAAATCTTTCCTTGCTGCACTTTTTCTTTAATGAAGATGAGATGCAACTGCACCTCTGAGGCACTCAGATTCAGGACATTTGCACATTCTGTGCCTCCTAGCAGACTCCTGGCTCACTTCTCTGAGGGTAATTTCACCGTGACAGCCATGAGATAGCATCTATGGATTGTTCTGCAAAATGTAACTTTCCATTAGGAGCCAGGGGGACTATTCTCTAGCAATCAGAACTCTCTGATAAACATTTATTTTTGTCTTTTTCACCTGGACAAAACTCTGCTGAGGTGCTTGGAACACATGCCAGATGAGATCTAGTTGCATTTCTTGTAGCTACTGGAAACCCAGCTAGTGACAGTGGCTAGCAGTGGTATCAGTGCCCAGACAACCATTCCCTGGTGTCCTGGTTATGCACCCCATCTCAGAGGGAAGGTCTTGTCTCCTGACTGCTCAGGCCTGGCTGGGAAGGGGCTGGCCAAGGACAAGGGGATGCCTTCGTTGGGAGTTTTGTATGACTTCCTTGTTTATCTCCAGGCTTACCATGACAGCAATATTTTTTTAATTTTAACTTTTGTGGAATTTCAAGCTCCATAATTTCTATTCTTTCCCCTGCTGTTGCCTTTTTGCAGAGCAGCTAATTTTCATTCCAAGGATGGTGTACAGAGCAGCCCACTAGTTAACACAAGAGGCAGCCATCTGACAAAGGACTGGGAAAGGACTTGGGCTTTCTGTTCTAATAATCACAAGTGCCAGTAACAGGACAGGACGAGAGGCTCAAACAAAAATAAATTAATTAGCAAGGACATTATTTATGCACTGGGAATTCCTAGTGTATGTGGTGTCTGCTCTAATAATGTGTGGACAAATCACCTCCCTATGCTGTAACACCTTAGGGAGAGGGCCAGCAGAGGAAGACAAATGTAAGATCCCATCTAAAGGGAAAAAGATAAGAAGCATCTGGAAAATCTGTGGGGAAATGCCCTGCATATGCATAAAGAGCAGAGAGATCCATATGGACACCTGCCCCTCACCACAGCTCCTCTTGCTCCTGGCTAGACATGTTCCAGAGTGATCTGCACTTAATACCAATAGGATTGTGGCCCGTGGGGATCTGAGCATTCCAAACTTGCATTCCCAGTGTGGTGAAACAGAGGTGAGCACAGAGCTTTTAGGAGAAAAGAAAAAAAAGGAAATAAATTTAAAAAAATAAAGAAGAAGAAAACTTTTCACAACATTTTTGAAAAAACAAATGGAACCATATAATTTGTCTTACATTGCAATTACTTCTCTGCTTGAGATGTTCACTATTTTCTGCCATTGTAATTTCACATACTGGATAATTAGTACCCTCTGCACAGAAACAACAGGAATGGCTGGGCAGCAGGAGAGCTCTTTCTGGATGCTGCTAAAATATTGTCTCATTTCTTCTCAGTGCATGACTCAAATCCAGGTGTGCAGAGGAGTAAAACTGAAAGGCCAGAATATTAAGTTAAAAACCAAAGAAAGATAGTTTGTGGAACAGTCCAGCAGAGCAAAGAAAAGCCATACTGTATAAAATTGATATGAATGTGAACATTGGTTCAAGAACTGATATGAACGTGAGCATGAAATTGGTGTTTTGAAACAATCCCCTGCAGATGACCCTTAGAATGCAGCCATTGACTCCTTATGGAGGTAAAAGTCTGTCTCTTTTTCTTTCTAAGGGATCAGACACAGAAATTGACATAACAAATCTGGGTAGAGTATTGGCTGAAATACCGATTTTTAAACGCTGTCTAATGATTCAGTGAAAGAATATCACACCTGTATCCAAATTCCATTTCGGTTCTATGGAAGCAGAGTATGATGTGCTAGAAACCAAATATTCAAGTTTCCTTTCTAAAATAAATCAGTTGATTGAAAATTATATCACAGGATTTTTGAAACTCTGAAGTGAATATGTTGATATTAAGTTAGTGGTGACATGTTTAAAGCATTTGTTAAACTATCCTTTGTATCAGGCTTTAAATGATCTTACACAACTCTGCACTAAAAGCTGTTACACGTATTCTTTAAATCATTAAAAGTTTCAGTTTTAAATAGGATAAGGAATTGAGATTTATATGGTGTGCCATTACTTCCTTGTGTTACAGCATTTGTATAGCTGTGTCCAATGTGAACATTGCCACATTGGAAATATTGCCAACAGAAGGTGAAAATGCTTCAACAGGACATGAGCTTACTATGACGACAGAAAAATGGATGCCAATATATGCTTAGGGGGAAAAAAACCCCAAACTTTCCATAACTTCTGAGTGATAAAATTTGCATTTACAGATCTGAGTGGTTGCCTCAGTTCTCTGACAAAGGTGCCTTTCACTGAGGTTGTTACCATGCTACTCAGTATTTTAAACTGAGCCAAATGCCTTTCCTCATGAAATGTCCTGTCTGCTAAAACAAATGGCAAGGAAAATCAAAACCAGGCTATTCCTAAAAACATTATTGTTAGGTAAAAAACTACTTTTACAGACTGTTTTCCAAAAGTAATATACAACTCCAGGCACAGCGAGGCAACAACCTAGAATAGTAATTACAGGTGATCTCAGCCAAATTTGAGAAATAGTTTCTTGCACAAAGCCAAGTGGAAATAAAAATTCCTCAAATCATACCAGCCAAAAAAGGGTATCATTCAGTCTCTTATGTGGTAGAATCCAAATAGCAATATTTAAATGCAATGTTATTATCCTATTTCTAGGATAGAATAATTTCTAGAGTTCATTAGAACATGATGAATTTCACTATATTGAAAATTGTTTTGAATTTAAACCGCAAACTAATTCTCAATACAAAGATAAAACCTAAAGGGGAAAAATAAATCTTACAGAATCCTCCTAGAATTAATACTGGATTCTCCAAGTTCAAATTACAATAATACCATCATCAAGAGAGTCCTCAATTAACCTCATCTGACATTCCAAGAAGAATATTTTAAGGGTCGTGAAGCATGCAAATAGAAACTTCAATTAAAGACAGACTTCATACATTGGACAGCCTGTGAAACATTATGTAACCAACCTGGTGCTTTGGTAAACACCCACAGATGATGCAGAGGAGACTGAAAAAATTAAGGATCAGCATCCTAAATCCTTTCTCAGGTAGAGCCTAGAAAGATTAGGAACTTGTTTACACGGGGGACAGGGACTCCCTTCATATTCATTCCATTTTGGTTTCTGCACGTTCGGATGACCTGCATTCACACAGCACAAATCTCAGCATGCATTATCTGCTGAGAGGAAATATATTCTGTGCTTCTTTTGGAGCCGTGGTAGATTCAGAGTGCATTAAGTGAAAGCATGCTAATATTCCTTGGGTGCAGCTGGGCCACAGGCAGCTCCTGCCTGTGTCTCCCCACCAGGAGCTGCTCCCTCTGGAATGCTGGAAAATGGCTGGGACGAGCCCTTGGCTGGGGGAAACACAACCCAGGGGTCACCCTGGGGACACCCCCTGTTCATATGACTGCTTTGGCACAAGGGCATCACCCAGCTGCAGTGGGACAGCCACCCCCGAGGAGAAAAGGTGAAGGTTCAGGCTGCTGGGTGAGGAAACGTGGCTGCAAGGCTCTCTCTTCAGGTGGCTGATTTGCTGAGGGGTCAGTGCAGGGTTTTTCTGCTCTTCTGCACTCAAGTGAGAGCCCAGCATGAATCTTTTTACACCACTGGTTTAAAACCTGTCATCACTTTGCATAGGCAGCTTGTTAGTACCAAGAAACTGAGCTGGCCTTGTGTTTTTTTTTCCCTTTACTTTTCTTGCTTTCAACTTTCCTTATGCTTCTATTAGTTGTAGCAAATATTAGATATTTTGACACACCTCCAGGATCTGTTTTTCAGTGTATCTGCTGGAGACTTGTAGCTGTTTGAAGCTTTAACCTTTCCTCAGTGACTGTGGCAGAGAAAACACTACTTAGACTTGCTGCTTGTTGTGTGCATTTAAAATTTCCTGCTCCCACTCTGACTATCAAATGAGTGCTTGTATGGATTTGCACGAGCTCTATTTTATTTCATGCATGATGATAACCCTTTCCCCTAAATATTCAAAAGGGTAAGTATTTTCCCTGATCAAACCCAGAAATACTGGTTAAAAAAGATTGTGAGAATGTAGTACTCACTGTGTCTCAGCTATCCATCCCTCAACTGGTCTGTTCCCCCCCTTCTGCCATCTGACATATATTTTCTCCTTCCACTCGTTTGGCTTCTCCCAGCAGGAAATCTTCTCTTACCAGAGCAGCTTTAAAATGTGACTGCTGGCTCGTGCTTTTTCATGCAATTAAAAAAAAAAAAAAGATAAACACTGTCTCCCTACCCCCCAAAAACTATTAATAGAAGTGTACTTACTGTGCACAGTTCAAACTAAGAATAGTGTTAAATACTATATCCTAATTAGCAGAGTACAGTAATGGTCTCATTTTAATCAATGGGTTTTGAAGTTCCAGCTTTCATGGGATGCAGTGAAATACATTTCAGAATGCAGCACCATAGAACTCTATGGCATATTTCATAGGCATTTTTCTTCCCCAATTACAAAGGGCAGAATTGCTGTAGCAGAAACATATTTTTAAGGCTTTTTCCCAGGATAAAACTTAGCAGTGCAGCTGTGAATATTTTCTCTGC